TCTGTCTCTGTCTGTCTCTTTCTCTCTGTCTCTCTCTCTCTGTTCGTCTCTCTGTCTGTCTGTCTCTCTCTGTCTATCTCTCTGTCTGTCTCTGTGTCTCTCCCTCTTTGTCTGTCTCTCTGTCTGTCTGTCTGTCTCTGTCTATCTCTCTGTCTGTCTCTGTGTCTGTCTCTCTGTCTCTCTCTCTCTGTCTGTCTGTCTGTCTCTCTGTCTGTCTCTCTCTCTGTCTGTCTGTCTGTCTGTCTCTCTCTCTCTGTCTCTCTCTCTCTGTCTGTCTCTTTTTTTCTGTCTCTCTATCTCTCTATCTGTCTGTCTGTCTCTCTCCCCTGCCCCCTCTCCCCCTCTCTTCTCCCCCCAAGATTTAACAAATAAAAGACCAAGAAAATAAAAATCAAGAAAAAAGGATAGATTTGCAAAAAGAAAAATAGAAAAAAAAAGATTTCTGACTTTCTTTGATATATAAATAATACCTCAAACTCTTACTCTAAGGTTAACATTTGTATATATTATTTCTATAAGCCCATATAGTTAACAGAATAACAGAGTTGGAAGGGACTTTGGAGGTCTTCTAGTTCAACCCCCTGCTCAAGCAGGGGACCCTACAGGGTAGGCAACCTTGGCTCTTTTGACTTGTGGACTTCAATACCCAGAATTCCTGAACCAGCCATGCTGACTCAGGAATTCTGGGAGTTGAAGTCCACAAGTCATAAAAGAGCCAAGGTTGCCTACCCCTGCCACACCATTTAGACAAATGGCAGTAATTCTAACCATCAAATCCCAAAATAACATTTCATTATTTTTCATTTCTCACAAAAGACACATAAATGACTTCCAAGTAAAAAAATAAAATCAGTTAAAAGTCTTTCCTTTAATCAAAGTGGTCAATTCTGCCATCTCTGTCAATTCCATGTAAGTACTGTACCTAACTTTCAACCCTACAGTTCTCATTTCTGGGAGGGCCAGTAAAATATATAAGCGTATTTCTCAGTTTCAAATTCTAACACATCACATATGGACAGATATAACCCACATAAGCTCTTTGGGGTCCTCAATCATTTTTAGACTGTAAAGGGGTGCCAAGACCAAAACGTTTGAGAACTGTAATTTTAGAATACTTCTTTGTTGTTGTTGTTAGTTCCGAAGTCATGTCCGACCCATCGCGACCCCATGGACAATGTTCCTCCAGGCCTTCCTGTCCTCTACCATCTTCTGGAGTCCATTTAAGTTCATGCCTCCTGCTTCAGTGACTCCATCCAGCCACCTCATTCTCTGTCATCCCCTTCTTCTCTTGCCCTCCATCTTTCCCAGCATGAGGCTTTTCTCCAGTGAGTCCTTCCTTCTCATTAGGTGGCCAAAGGACTTGAGTTTCAACTTCAGGATCTGGCCTTCTAAAGAGCAGTCAGGGTTGATCTCCTCTATGACTGACCGGTTTGATCGCCTTGCAGTCCAGGGGACTGGCAGGAGTCTTCTCCAGCACCAGAGTTCAAAGGCCTCCGTTCTTTGGCGCTCAGCCTTTCTTATGGTCCAACTTTCACCGCCATCCATTGCAACTGGGAAAACCTCTTTACAAAACTTCTTTACAAAAACACAACACATCAAATTTAAGAAATCCTCCATCCAAGCTCCCATCACCTCGGGCTTTTCCATTCTAAGCATTCCCTTCTTATTTGCACCCGGTTTCGTTTTTCCCCTCTGCTAACCCCTCTTTTCTCTTTCCAACTTTTTTTTTTGGTCCTTTTGTATTTTCTTTAAATAAAAAAAAAACCCTCCATTTTTTTTACTTCCCCGCAATCCCTTCATTCGAGGCTCTTTTGAAATTCACGTGCCCGTAGACACCCCCTCTGCGTTTACAAACACGCTCGCATCACCCCGATCCCTCCTCCGGTGCCCTTTGGGAACCAACCTGCGCGCCTTTAGGAAAACTTCGCCAAAGCCGGGATCAGGGACCGGTCGGTCAAGTTTCCTACGATGATTTCCCTCCGCGTTGCCTCGCGGACTTTTCCACGGCCGAGGGGAAAAAAAAAATCGCTTTTTACAGCGAGGCGACCCGATAGCGCAGGTGGCCGCTGCAGATCGTGGCTCCACGGCTCAGTCGGTCCTAAATAAAGGCAACCTAAATAAATGCCACTCCTGGCTCAGCAGAAGCCTAACCCTCCTCCCGCCCCCCCCTCTCTCTCTCTCGGACACGAAGTCTTCCCTCCGGTCGTCTGAGAGCCTCCAGCGCTCACCTGCTTCCGCTTTGCAGCCCAGCGGAGAAACGCAGCGCCGGTGTCTGGCAAAACAAGCGTCCGATTGGATCCGGAAGCCGCCACTCCCCGCTCCGGATATCTCGCCTCTGCAAGGGCCGGAGGGCCTGGACGAGCAGGAGGGAGAGAAAGCGGGCGGAAGCCGGCGCGGCTCCTTTTTCTTCGCTGCAGCCGGTGCAACCGGCTCGGAGCTCGCCAGGTGCGCCGGGGCTGGACGCCGGTAACGCCTTCCTGTGGGTTGGGCGGCCTCTAGTGGCCGCGAGGGCAAATGTCCGGCGGCAGGTGGCCAAACTTGGCTGAGGTTTAGCAGTATTGTGTAACAGAATACAGAGGTGGAAGGGACCTTGGAGGTCTTCTAGTCCAACCCCCTGCTAAGGAGGAGACCCCATGCCATTTCAGACAAGTGGCTGTCCAGTCTCCTCCAGTGATGGAGCACCCACAGCTTCTGAAGGCAATTGTTTAATTATTAACAATTGGTTAATTGTTCTCACTGTCAGGTTAATTGTCAATTAACAATTGGTTAATTGTTCTCACTGTTTCCTTTGTTCTAGGCTGGATTTCCCTTTGATGAGCGTCCTTCTGTTAGTTCTTGTCCTGCCCTCAGGTGCTTTGAAGGATAGGTTGACCCCCTCTTCTGTGTGACAACTACTCAAATAGTAGAGTGGTTTCAGAGAGCACCAAAGGCCCCGCCGTTCAAGCCTCAGCTACAAAATACTCTCTTCTCTTGAGGCTGAACAACCTGCTTTGATGGAAAATCACTAGAAAGCACCCTAGTTGTAATTTATGATGTGCCATCAAGACATTTTTCGACTCCCAGTAACCACATAGGTAGATTTTCTCTCTTCTTTTTTGTTGAAGTTTATTGTAATATAAAATACAAATAGAAACAAAGATAATTGGGGAATAGGGGAGGGAAAAGAGCAGAGTAAGAGGGAAAGAAAAAAGCACCGCCTTCCAACTTTTTCGGTGTAATAAAGTACAAAATACAGTTACATCCTCAACTTTTTATTTTACTTATTTCGTAAATGCTAGCCACTTCTATAACAACAAACTAACCTAATCACTTAAAAGATATATTGCTGGCATTCACTCTTATCTCAGATGTGATACATTATTGCTCAATGAGGGGTTGGAGGGTTTATAATCATAATGGGACTTTTTTCTGTGTTTGGTAGATCTCAGTAAAATCTCAAAATATCAGAAGGAATATTTAACAAAGAGATAACAATAGTAAATAAGGTAAAGGTAAAGGCTTCCCCTGCCATTTATGATGATGATGATGATGATGATGATGATGATGATGATAATAATAATAAAGTTGGGAGGGACCTTGGAGGTCATCTAGTCCAACCCCCTGCTCAGGCTGGAAACCCTATACCATTTCGGACAAATGGCTGTCCAGTCTCTTCTTAAAAACTTCCAATGTTGGAGCATTCACCGCTTCTGGAGGCAGGTGGTTCCACTGGTTAATTATTCTAATTGTCTGGAAGTTTCTCCTTAGTTCTAGGTTGCTTCTCTCCTTGATTAGTTTCCATCCGTTGCTTCTTGTCCTGCCTTCAGGCGCTTTGGAGAATAGCTTGACTCCCTCTTCTTTGGGGCAGCCCCTGAGATATTGGAACACTGCTATCATGTCCCCCCTCGTCCTTCTCTTCGTTAAACTAGACCGGGGTAGGCAACCTTGGCTCTTTTATGAGCCGTGGACTTCAACTCCCACAATTCCTGAGCCAGCCGTGCTGAGGGAAAAGGGAGAGGTTTCCAAACTGAGCCATGCTGGCTCAGAAATTCTGGGAGTTGAAGTCCACGAGTCGTAAAAGAGCCAAGGTTGCCTATCCCTGAACTAGACATACCCATATGTCCGACTCCAGGGGACAGGGCTTCTTTCCACTTCTTTCCCAGGGAGCCAGCATTGTCCAAAGACATTTCCATGCTCATGTGGCCAGCATGGCTATTTGCCAAAGGTGCATGGAATGCTGCTACCTTCCCAACAAAGTGGTACCTATTCACCTACTCGCATTTGCATGCTTTCAGACTGCTAGGCGGGCAGGAGCTGGGGCAAGGGACAGGAGCTCACCCCGTCATGCAGTGTTCGGGTCTTGAACCCAGGCTGCCAGCTAACAAGCTCAGTAAACAAAAGAGGGCATAATTAAAAAAAAGTGTGCCCCTAAAGGAGTGAATAAAAGTTATGAAAGAAACTCATGCTCCTCTTCCTTTTAGCAGTAAAGTCAATCCTTACCCACCCACCCACCACAGAAAATATCTGAGTCATCTGGCACTTGAAAAAAACAACAACAAACAGTTCCATCAGATTTGAGTCGGTCACCCAGCTTGAGAAAGTCTAGGATCAAATTCACGTGCTTAAAAAACAAAACAAGAAACCACTGTTTCATTGGGATCGGTAAGATTTTAATCTGTTCTTGCAGAGGCAACACAAATGCCTATTAAGACAAGTGGACATTTTAAAGGGCCAGACAGAAGAACATGGAAGCTGCTGTGTGGAATGTGACAAACAAAAGAAAACAATAAAAAATAATGAAATGAAATAAAATAAAATAAGAAAGCTGCAAAGTATGGACGCTTTTCAACAATTGCTGCTTTGCTCCCTTCCCAAGAGAGCATCCCATCCCCAGCAGCTGAGTCTGGAAGAAAAGATTTCTCCAGAGACCTGCTCTGTGATTGGTCCATTTTGAAGCTAGCGGAAGTAAGAGTGGAACGCATTGGAGGAGCTGCCTTTGTTCTGTGGTTGCCTAGGGCAACAGGTGGTATACATGCTGCAGCGTCTTGCCTAGAGGTAGCCCTGGGAACCAGGTAAGCAATTGGCAGCAAAGAGGGGGGCTTTTTCCAGGTAAATCTGTCCATGCAACCATGATGAGCATATTGTCCTCAGCTACACTCTTAAGACAGGTGTGGGCAAACTACAGCCCCACTACCCTAGGCAGCCCCCAAGGTCCTTTTCTATAGAGCTTGCAAAACCCTTCCAATTATAAACCAGACACACTCCCCATCCCAAAACCAGAGAAAAGGTATCACCCCTTCAAGGGAGACCAGGTCAAGAAAGTGGCATGGAAAGGATTAAATCACAATATCTCAGAAAACCTGTTGGATTTTGCCTCTGCCCCCATTGTTGCCTTTAAAACTCAGGGTCCAGGTTTGATGTGGAACTGATAAAAATGTAATCCCTGAATTTGAGAAAGAGACTGACTTTGCAAAGATGGCTTTTTTGCCCCTCCTGAAAACAGCTGAAGAGTTATGAATCTTTGATAAGGTGACCAATCGTCCTCCTTTAGGGGAGGTCCTTCTTTTGTAAGTTCTGTCCTCTCTCGAAAAGTGTCCTCCTACATGTCCTCCTTTTCGATATTTGAAGACTAATCTGTAAATCTCCGTATTCGATCGATGCCGAGCCTATCCGTTGCGTGCGAAGTGACGTATTTGTATTTGACATGACGATTCGTCAAGGCTCGGTACAGTGCGGCGAGACGTGATTATGAGACGCATGTGCTCCGCACAGGTGAATTGTTTTGAGAGAGTGCACCGCACGCAAGTGGCTTTGTTTACTTTTTACCAAAACACGACACGGCACACATGCATGCATTAGACTCACTTCTTTCTCAGTGAATATTCAATCATATGCAGGTGAGCACAATAATTCACATTTTATTAATTCATTATCTATTTTATAATTTCCAAATATGTATAATTTTATTTACAAGTTTATTCGCTTATGTTATTGTTTCAGTTTTAATAATTAATTTTATTTATTCATATTTTTTTTCTTCAATTTATTTGTGTCTTCCTTCTCATTGTAAAAAAGTTGGTCACCTTATCTTTGAGGCAAAGTGAAAAGCTTTATTAAGGTGAAGGGATGTCAAGTCTTTTTATAGGGTACAGAAACAAATGATACTTTATTTATGAAATGTATATGTCATCGTTCTTCTCAGATGACTCTGGGTGGTTTACAACATTGTGAAAGCAAAAACAAAAAACATTAAAAATGGAATATTAAAAATAATAGAAACTAAATACATTAGACACATTCACTATATGCAAAGCTTCTGAAAGCAACAAATTGAATAATCGGAAGCATTAATTAGATGTGAGAGCTGGACAATAGAAAACATTGATCTTAGATAAAATTGCACAATTGGCAAATTTATGGGTTATGTCACCCCCTTTTCTAGACGAGCTTGTTTCTGGGCCTCTGGTGGCTATAAAAGTCTCCCTTTTTTATCTTACCTGGTTGTGATAATGTGATGTGTGTGCTCAGTTTTTAGAAGCACGAGGATGGAGTGAAGAAAAATCCATTCCCCAAGTTTGCAATAATTGTCTGTCATAGAGACCAACTTTGATATGAGTTCGTTGTCTCAGGTCTTCCCAACGAAATCTTACTCTAATCTGAATCGAACTCCCGAAAATACTGAAAAAGGTAAGACATGGAATCTAAATACTGCCCTGGTAGAAGCCAGACCAGAGAGTGGGAAGTTTGGAAATAGCTTAATTCATTGCACCAAGAGTATGTCTGCCCTAACAAAATACTCATACTGTCTGAAGAGAAAACAGGATGGCATATGTTATATTTCTATTATAGTGATGTTGTGCTAATGCAAGTAATCCTTGAGTTAAGACCATTTGTTTAGCGACTGTTCAAAGTTAAATGGCATTGAAAAAAGTGATAACCAATCCTTAGACCAGTGATGGTGAACCTTTTAGAGACCCGAGTGCCCAAACTGCAACCCAAAACCCACTTATGCATTGTCGGGTGCCGAGTGGGTGTGGCCCATTGGGTGAGCGTGGCTGCGGTGGTAACAACAGATTGGGGTGGGACTAAAAAGTTCAATCAATCAATTCCAACTTTGCAAGAACTTTTTTTTTCCTGCGAGAAGTTGAAATTGACTGATTGAACCTTTTTTTTTTTGTACACAGCGGCGAAGGCCTAAATCGAAAAGCTTTTATAAAACCCAGCTGAAGGCCTAGGACTGGGGCGATGGCATGCGTGCCCACAGAGGGCTCTGAGTGCCACCTGTGGCACCCGTGTCATAGGTTCGCCACCACTGCCTTAGACTTAGATTCTTGCAGCAGCCCTGCGCTCTGATCTTCAAATGGGGAAGCCAGATTCTCTTAACAACAGTTTGACTTATTTAGCAACTGCAGTGATTCACTTAACAAGAAAGATCGTAAAACATTAACAAATGTTTCATGTGGCACCAGAAATTTGGGGGCCAATTATGATCGTATGTCGAGGATTACCTGTATTGCAGTTGTTAAGTTAGCAACCTGGCTTTATGACACTGCAAACCGTCATAAATATGAGTCAGTTGCCAAGCATCTGAATTTTGATTACACGAGTGTAGCGATGCTGCAAAGGTCTTAAGTGTAAAAAACGGTCATAAGTCACTTTTTTCAATGCCGTTGTGACCATTGCAGCTGGCTCAAGGTTAATTCAGCCTTCCATCCTTCTGAGATCAGTAAAATGAGGTCCCAGATTGTTGAGGGGCAATATGCTGACTATAAACCGCTTAGAGAGGGCTGTAAAATACTGTGACGTGGTACACAAGTCTAAGTGCTATTGCTATTGTAACTTTGAACAGTCATTGAACGAATGCTTGTAAGTCAAATATTACCTGTAGGCAGGTATCCTGAAACACTACAGTAATAATAATAATAATAATGATGATGATGGTGATGGTGATGGTGATGATGATGATGATGATGATGATGATGGAAGGGACCTTGGAGGTCATTTAGTCCAACCCCCTGCTCAGGTAGGTAACCCTATACCATTTCGGACAAATGGCTGTCCAGTCTCTTCTTAAAAACTTCCAGTGTTGGAGCATTCACTGCTTCTGGAGGCAGGTTGTTCCACTGGTTAATTGTTCTAACTGTCAGGAAGTTTCTCCTTAGTTCTAGGTTGCTTCTCTCTTTGGTTAGTTTCCATCCTTTGCTTCTTGTCCTGCCTTCAGGCGCTTTGGAGAATAGCTTGACTCCCTCTTCTTTGTGGCAGCCCCTGAGACACTGGAAGACTGCTATCATGTCCCCCCTCGTCCTTCTCTTCATTAAACCAGACATACCCAATTCCAGCAACCGTTCCTTATATGTTTTAACCTCCAGTCCCCTGATCATCTTTGTTGCTCTTCTCTGTACTCTTTCTAGAGTCTCAACATCTTTTTTAGCATCTCAACATCTTCCGTAACAATGCTAAATTTGATCTTCAAAGCTGTAATTCATCCAATGGGTTTCATGGCTGAGCAGAAATTTGAACCTGTGTTTGTTCCATCCTCACCTGATGCTCATTGATTTTCTTTCCTAGGCGCACCCTATTCCTCCATCCCTCTCAAATTCTATGCCAAAGTGATTCCCAACACCGAAAAGGTGGGCTTCAATTCTCAGGCAAAGAGATTTCAATATTCTGAGGTAAGAGATGTTCTATTTCATCTTCCTGACTTTTATATATCTCTTTGAGTCTAGAGATGATCTATGAAGGGACTTATTAGGGAATGTTACCTGGTTGCTAGTCTGTGTAGTTGAGGGTTGCCATTTTGTATAATTGGTGTTCTTGGATCCTGGATTTTGTGCTACACAGTTTTCATTATTCTAGTACATGGGTGTCCAACGTTGGCAACTTTAAAACTTGTGGACTTCAACTCCCAGAATTCCCTAGTCAGCCAGTCATGGCTGGCTAGGGAATTCTGGGAGTTGAAGTCCACAAGTCTTAAAGTTGCCAAGGTTGAACACCCATGTACTATAATGAAAACTCTGCAACATAAAATTCAGGCTCCAAGAACACCAATTATACAACACAGCTAGGGAATTCTGGGAGTTGGAAGTCCACAGGTCTTAAAGTTGCCAAGGTTGGACACCCTGCTCTAGTAGGTAACTCCATCAGACCTGGAGTTGATTGGTTAGCTGATTGGTTGACATATTTCAATGTGATGGTTTTGTGAGCAATATTGTTTTGTCAGTGACTGGTGTCTTGCAATCAGGGAACTATTTATTTGGCTGATGATGTGGTGTTTCTTATCCAGATATTGGTTGCTTCCTGTGTGAAATTGATGTTGACAAGTATGGAATGGGCAGCAAATTGGGAACATGCTGTTCTTTGACAGTGTTCGTTGAACTTCCTGTCGATGAACAGTGATTGATTGTTAGTTGATAAGTATATGTTCTCTTTAAGTTAAGTCATGGTTGATTGTTGTATAATGCTGGAGGGAAATGATGTTCTGTATTGTTGCAGTGTTTCTCAATCTGGGCAACTTTAAGATGTGTGGACTTCAACTCCCAGAATTCCCCAGTCAGCATAGGAATTCTGGGACCTGAAATCTATACATCTTAAAGTTGCCAAAGTTGGGAAACACTGGTCTGTTGGATACAGAAGGTACATAAAAGATCCAAAAATCAGCTTTTGTAAGCCACATAACAACTCAAGGCCTTTAACACAATGCAACTGAATAACAGAGTTGGAAGGGACCTTGAAGGTCTTCTAGTCCAACCCCCTGCTCAACCCCCCCTATACAATTTCAGACAAATGGCTGTCCAGTCTCTTCTTAAAAACCTCTAGTGATGGAGCACCCACAACATCTGCTATAAACAGATCTCCAGATTGGTTTTTATTCCAAATTAATAGTCATGGTTGATACCAAGAATCCGGGAAACAATCATTTGGAAAAGAAGCTGAGACTGTTAGATTATTTAAAGCAAGATTCTTCTATTTTGGCATTATAAATTTTCCTTTTGACCAGTAGAGGACAGTAGAGCTTCACAAAAGAGGAGACCCAAGTCCTTCAAAACTGTATTGAGGGAGGAAGCAGGACACACATATATATATATATATATATATATATATATATTGTGTGTGTGTGTGTGTGTGTGTGTGCGCGCGCACGCGCTTTAAAGTATGGTTTTCCACACTGGTGCTTCCATGAGTTAAAAGATGAAAAATCTAATCCTACATCATTGCCATCTTTTCTCGTAAGTATAGGAGAAAAAATTCAAGACATTTTTTTTAAACCTGAATTTTAGTGCAAAATTCATCACCTTTGTGAGGAACAAAACACCAGCATCCTTTAGACCAGGGGTCCCCAACTTCCAGTCTGTGGACCAGTACCGGGCCGTGGCATGCCAGCAACCGGTCCGCACAAACAAGGAAAGCCCCATCCGCGGGATGCAGGCAGGACACAAAACCACACACCCTCCGGTCTGCGGAAAAACCTCTCTCCACGGAACTGGTCCCTGGTCCCCAAAAGGTTGGGGACCTCTGCTTTAGACCAAGTTCTTTGTTCTTTTTCCAGAAGCAAAAGTGTGGTGTCTTTTCCCCTGTTTTTTAATGTCTGGGTCTATAGAAAGAGACTATTTAATATTACCTTGTTTTACACAGACACAAATATTCTTACTGGGGGAAAGAACTTTTTCTTAACACGTGAAATGTAAATAAACGATTTTATTTTGAAGTTATATACTGCCAGCTACCAAGGTCTCTAGGAGGTTGCCAAAAAGGGCTACACGCCAGTTAAAATCAAGAAAAAAAAGAAGTGAATAAAAAGATTTGCTCAGTAACTTAAGTCTGTTTGGTCTAGTGCAGGGGTAGGCAACCTTGGCTCTTTTATGACTCGTGGACTTCAACTCCCAGAATTCCTGAGCCAGCATGGCTCAGCTTGGAAACCTCTCCATTTTCCCTCAGCGTGGCTGGCTCAGGAATTCTGGGAGTTGAAGTCCACCAGTCATAAAAGAGCCAAGGTTGCCTACCCCTGGGATAGTGGGTCCCTGATTTGTTTTTTATGTATTCCTTTAAGTTGTTGGAGGATTTAAGGTAACTTGACTAAAAAATTTGTTGAGGTACAATGTACTGTTTGGGCTATCTTGAGGGTACAAACGGTTAAACAGAACGAGACTTGTAGTAGTATATAGTTTTAGTAATATAGAGATGTGCTAAAGCAAGGCTCCCCAACCTTTCTGGGTGGGCAGCCCGGAGGGAAAGAGAGGAGTCAGGAAATATACCCGTGCACCCGCACACATGCGCAAATGAGCCACTAGCACCCACACACATGCACAAACAGGCCACTAGTGCCCACGTGATGCTGGCGGCGCCGCTAGCGACCCCGTGCATGCGCATGCACAAACAGGGCCGCTAGCATCCACACAGCAGCACTAGCGTGAATGGGGAGGATGCACTCGTCAGCCATTCCCATGGCCCAGTGGCCAAGAGGCCACGGACCGGTACTGGGCTGCGGGCCACAGGTTGGGGCCCCCTCTGCTAAAGGAAGCTGCTATGCGTGTTCATTAATCCATGTTCCCCATTTGTTTATAATGAGATTCTTCCTTTCCTCATTCCTCTGGGCCAGTGTTTCTCAACCTTGACAATTTTAAGGCATGTGGACTTCAACTCCCAGAATTCCACAGCCAGCAATGCTGGCTGTGGAATTCTGGGAGTTGAAGTCCACATGCCTTAAAATTGTCAAGGTTGAGAAATACTGCTCTGGGCCTTTTCCATTCATAACCTTTTCTTACTGGGCGTCTTTAGCATAATTCAGTCCTTACTGTATAAAGATTACGTCTTGCTGACAGAATAAATAAGCCGCCTGCTTTTGGTTGTCCTTGTGGTTAATAAAAATATATATTATCCTCATTAGTGATTCCAAGAATATCTCAAATATGTTAAATGACTGATGAATAGGCAAGGATTTGTATTCCTCCCCCCCTCCTTTGAAACACTTGCCAGAAAACCTACCAATGATTGATCAAGTCTGGTCAAGTCACGTGACCATGTGTGCCCTAAAATGGTTGTGTATTGGCGGGCGGGGGGGGGAGGGAAGCACCACAACATTAATAATACACCATATCTCAGGTTTAGATTAAGCAGCAAAGACAAATTACTTTCCTGAATGAAAAGATCCAGCCTAAGATGGTTTAAAGCAGGGGTGTCCAACCTTGGCAACTTTAAAACGGGTGGACTTCAACTCCCAGAATTCTCCAGCCAACACGGCTGGAGAATTCTGGGAATTGAAGATAAGAGATAAGATAAGATAACCTTTATTGTCATTTTTATACTGTGGGCACAACTGCACACATCAAAAATGAAATTTAGTTGCCCGCTCTCAAAGTGAAACACATACATGACACACACCTAAACATACTATGAACAACATATGTATAGACCCACATCCCTACATATACGTAGCAAATAAATATTAAATATTGTCCATCTTGAATATATAGCGGAAGGAGGAAGCTTGAGAGTCCACCAGTTTTAAAGTTGCCAAGGTTGGACACCCCTGCTTTAAAGCATGAGCTAGGAATAGACACAGTTAGCATCGTGTGAACAGGTGTGGCAGAGATCAAGGCTGTCTTGTGTGCTGGGATCAAACTTTTCCAATTTTCTTCTGGGAGCTGAAGTTCAACCAATGTCAAGCTGCCAAGTTTGGGAAAAAAAACCCCACAGATTGGGAGAAAGGAGCAGATGGGAAGAACGGTTAGCAAGAATAGCTCTCTCACACCTCAAGTTCTTCAGCCACTGAAGAGGCCCCACCTGGATTTCCTCCCTCCTTCTCCTCCACCATCAAAGATCACACAGCTTTCCAGCCCTTTCCTTCCTCACAATAGCTGGCTGAGGCCCATCACTCGCCAAGCCAGCCAGGCAGAGCCAAAGAAAGCATCTCATCTGGATGGACACCTTGGCTGGACAACCAAAGAACCACCACGCCTGAGGCTCAGTTCTCAGTCCAACAAGCAAGCAGGCTTTGAAAAGTCTGAAATCAGCTCTACAAAGTGCCCTTTTCTCCTCCCAGGAATTTCCTGCTTCATAACACTTGCAGGCAGCGAGCCAAGCCACAAGGAATACAAAGTTTTGGCAGGCTCTCGACTATCTCTAGAGAACATTAGCTTCTACCCATTAGTTTCAGGGAGGGAGCAACTGGCATTCTGACTTTTCTCTAGGGATTTTCTTTCTTTTTTTTTTTTTTGCAGCTAAGACAGTTTTCAGGCCTGACAGGGGTGTCTGCAGGGTGTGGCGAAAAAGCTAGGATGGTAGCCATGATAGTGAGGTTAAACTCCCCCTGTTTTTTAGGACGATGCTTTGCACATTGAAAGAAAAAAGTATCAGGCAGAGCATTGGTCGCACCATTGGAGGCGCCATCCTGATTTTATTTTATACTGATTTTATTTTATAACATGCATTCCCCCTTGAACAGTATAGGGCACTGGTGGCGAACCTATGGCACGGGTGCCAGAGGCGGCACTCGGAGCCCTCTCTGTGGGCACACGTGCCGTTGCCCCAGCCTCGCCTCCCCCCACGACCCCCTCCTCTCCAGCAGCCCCCCTGAAGGAGAGTCACCCCTGAACGTGGCCCACATGGCAGCCAGGCAGCATAGACAAGACTCTGCCCTCACACCCCATCGTGCACAGTTGATGCTGCAGGGCGCGGGCAGAGGCCGTGACTGCCATAGTGCTGCTGGGCTGCCTGGGCGATCTGCGGTGGGCCCTGGAGGTGGTGAGTGCCCTGCGGACAGGCGGTCAGGAGACGGGGGGGCGGGGGGGCAGGGGGTGGAGCGGGAGTGGGGCCAGTTTTTGGGCACTCAGTCTCTAAAAGGTTCGCCATCACTGGTATAGGGGCAGTATAGATAGAGGCAGAAACTGCAGGTGGATATCTAATATTTTGGGGGGACTTGGAGGCAGGGAGGGAGGGAGGGACTGCTGGAAAACCACTGGAAAGAACAACAAAAAATCCTAAATATATATGCTTTACATTCACAAATCATTTTTTTTTAAATCAAGTGGTGACTGTAACCGCATCCTCCAGTCTGCCCCTGTCTTAAGTGTGTTGTGCATGCCAAGGCTCCAAAAGGGCTTCATTGTACAGTCGCACCTTTCTTGACTTTTTTTTGACATTCCAGACTGCCCTGGTTTGACCCACACATCCTGCCATGCCATCCGATTGGCAGCCTATGGTCCTGAGTCCAGCAAGACTCAGGTGACCAACTTTTTTACAATGAGAAGGAGGACACAAATAAATTGAAGAAAAAATATATATGAATAAGTAAAATTAATTATTAAAACTGAAACAATAACATAAGCGAATAAGCTTGTAAATAAAATTATACATATTTGGAAATTATTAAATAGACAATGAATTAATAAAACGTGAATTATTGTGCTCAACTGTATATGATTGAATATTCACTGAGAAAGAAGTGAGTCTAATGCATGCGTGTGTGCCGTGTTGTGTTTTGGTAAGAAGTAAACAAAGCCACTTGCGCGAGGCGCACTCTTGCACGTGGCGGACTCTCAAAACAATTCTCCTGTGCGGAGCGCATGCGTCTCATAATCGCGTCTCGCCGCACTGTACCGAGCCTTGACGAATTGTCATGTCAAATACAAATACGTCACATCACACACAACGGATTGGCTCGGCATCGATCGAATACGGAGATTTATAGATTAGTCTTCAAATATCGAAAAGGAGGACATGTAGGAGGACACTTTTCAAGAGAGGACAGAACTTACAAAAGAAGGACTGTCCTCCCTAAAGGAGGACGATTGGTCACTTTAAGCAAGACGGCAACACTAAAATTCATCAGCAAAAAAATATGCCTTTCAGACCTCGCCCTCCGGTTCCTATTCCTAAAACCCTGAAAAAAAACTGGTGACCAGAAGAGGATCTTTTTCTGGTGATCTGTTGGTCTCCTGTTCCTCTCCAGAAAGTCAAGAGGTTGAATCATGGCCCCAACTCATCAAACATTGCCTCAACATGATGCGTTTTGTTTCGATGAGCCCAGATCCTGCTTCGAGACCAGTGGTTCCCAGCCTTTTCTATGCGCCACAGCCCTAGGAAATGTTTCATTAATGTTTGCGCCCTCTACAAAAGTCACTGTGACTTGTGACTCATCACTTAGGGACACCAGCCACCCTTTGGTGCTTCCTCTGAAATACTATCGTGCACTCCAGGTTAGGAACCCATGATCTGGGTTGTGGTTGTTCAACAAACCATGGTTAAACCTAGCACAGTTTGGTGCAAGCTGTGAACCAGCTCTGAATTCTTTAGATGCCACCTTGGACCAATGTCACTGTTTTGCTTGACTCTGAGAGGCTTTTGCAAAACCTGTCAAGCTTTAAGCCCACTTTTGGATGAAGCTCTCTGTGTCATCTGCAGAAGACCGAAAGTGATGCTCAGGACAACCATTTTGATTTGCTTGCTTGCTTTCTATAAATAGCAAACCCACCCAGCACTCTTTGAGGAATAAAAGAAATGTCGTTCTGGGTGGAAATTGAGTCAGGAGGGGTGTGGCTCCTTAAAATAATACATTCTACCACACGCTTAAACAATTCAGGGCAAATCAGATGCCTAGGTGGGATTAAGCATGCAATGGATTTGCGCTCCTTGAGTCTCTCTATGCCGTTGTACAGACGCTGGGGAAACCTAATCTTCTACTTGAGGCCTGTTTCGCCATGTAACCTGAGCTAGGCTCCATTAAAATGAGATTATTCTGATTTTGAAACAAGCAACGAAGAATCTGCTTAGAGCACAGGGACAATTGACCATAAATGAAACCACAAGCCAGAAAGATATTGAGTGGCTTATGAAAATGGGAAGGTTAATCACATTTTCATGCCATTGTGCGTCTCCACCCATGAGGTCATGCTCATGTCAGGTAAACTCTCCACGGGGGAAGGCCCAGGCCCTTATTTTGGCACCAAGGGCACAATGCTTCCCGAGTAGGACAGTGGGATCTGTTTCAAGAACTCTCCATGCTTTTTGTCAGTTTAGCAAACTGCCCTATTTTAGCATAAACACAAAGAATCTTTGTTTACCAGCAATGTGCTTAAGTAGCAAAACCAGCCCCTGTTATTTTTGTTTTTACAGAAGAGCAAAAACAAAAATGCCTATTTTGACCTAAGGTCACCAATTGGTACTGTCATTAAAAATAGCCTTTGTTTTTCAGTCTGCAGATTAGCTCATTGCTGGCAAAATGGCACCAGAGAGCAGACAGCATAGATGGGATCCCCCCCAAAAAAATTACTGTAAAAAGGGTTTGTTTGTTTTTAATTGTAATGGCCAAAGTCTTACAAGATCACTACATCTCACAAGAGTTTGGTGTTCCCAGGTGAAATCTAGTGAGTGTCAACGCTGCTAACATCAGATGTTCTTGCTTTGACAATATATGAAGATGCAGCCATTTTCTCTTTAACCTGTGTATTACTTTTAGAGTTAGAATTAGATGGTGCTGGAAGGGAGGGGGAAGAATGTGCATGGGGATTAGTTAGACATAACAATATCTCAGTAGAGTATTCTTCAAGGTTGTTTGAAATAAGAGAAGATAAGAAATGGCGGTTACGGAATTGGAGGGAAAGTTCACACTTCAAACTAATTGGAGAATGTGATTAATGACTGTTAATTGGAGGAGGGAATTATGCTTTGATACTATGTGTTTAAGGGAGGAGAATTCAGATTTTGGCTTCGCCTATGTACATGCCGAAGCTATGTTGCTCAATTAAAGATTCTTTAAGGTAAACAATGCCTCAAAGTTCTTTGAAGAATTTCATCTTTCGGAACCACGACAGTGAGCTTGGGAGAGAGAAGACTAAATCTTCCTGAGATTTAATGATCCTTGAAGATTTTGGCCCTTTAAAACATTTTTGTATTTGGACCAAAAGACACCTGTAGGATTTTAATGGCTCACTAGTGGACTTTGGAGCACATGTAGCGAACCCTTTTTTTTACATCAGGCAAGACAATTTAATGACATCTAATTATTAAGAAACAAAATATATTACCACATCCTGGGAACCCCTCATTGTTTCTTCTGTTAATAGCTATTTGAAGCACAGATTGATCAGGCCCATTTCCCAAATATTGGCAGGCCGATCAATGTGACATCTTCCCAATGACTTTTGTGTTTCTTCCAGAATGAAAATCCAGGACCTGGACTTTATAATATCATCCACCAATCTCTGCTTCTCAACGATGTCTCCCAGTCTCGGAAAGGAACCTGTTTTTTCCCTTCCTTGGTAAGGAAAATAGTTTATGGAAATCATTTATGTGCAGAGGAGACAATAACAGAAATAAGGTCGCACTATCGCACTTTCTAGCTCATACTTTTATTTTCCTGCTCTTTAAAAGCACTGTATTAACTCCCTGTGACAGAGAGATAAAAGGTGCAATCACTTCAACTTGGCTTTGACTGTTAAAAGTAATTTACAAAAGGAATTCCTTTAAAATGTAGTGGAATCAACTTTTTCTAACCCCGATCTTAACCTTAACCCTAAAATATGTGTTCTTGCTTATCCAAAACTGGATTTGCACGTTTGGTTATGGATGCGGCTTCTTCAATTTTGCAAGTATTCATTTGTTAATCAAATTTATATACCTCCCATCTCACTGTCTAAGTGATTCTGCATGGTTTACAAGCTAGAGGAAGTCAGCCACTTATAAACCAGAGGTTACATCATAGTGAAGCCTACCAATATTGATTTATTCACTAAACCATGATTGAACAAACTACAGCTTGGTACTATTCGCAAGACTAAACATGTATGATTCTGGAACACAATTGCTGACGTTAAGTGGTTACCACACCCTTTTATCCTACCAAGTGGAAATATTCAAATATATCTTTGCAAAACTGCCTTATAAATATACTTTGAAAAAGCAGCACAGTTCTGCTCCATTCTCTTCTGCATCAGACATATTTCCAAATTGTGCTTTTAATATGTCAGAATCTGAACTCTGGAGACCACAAATCTTAAGAGTAGAAAAGTGCAGGCTGAGAGATTTCTTGACTGACTGATTATGTGCCAGCAAGTTCGTGTCAACTTTTAGCAACCACACAGATGGGTCTTTTCCAGGAGGATCTGTGTCCAACTCTTGGTCCTCCCACTTTTCCACTGTTCCCATTATAGCTAAGTCCATCCACCTTGCTAATGCTCACCCTCTTCTCCTTCCTTCCATTTCTCCCAGCAATAGAGCTTTCCTCCAGAGAGCTACAATAGGTCTTCCCATAATATAGTGATGGCAAACCTTTTAGAGACCGAGTGCCCCCAAACCGGCCCTGCCTGCCCACATTCCACTCCCACTTCGCCCACGGTCCGCCCCCAGCCGAGCCCCGCCCACCCGCAGGCCACCTACTGCCTCCACGGCCCGCCGCAGATTGCTCAGGTGGCCCAGCAGCGCAATGGCGGCCATGCCCTCTGCCCGCGCCCCACAGAATCATCTGCGTGCAATGGGGCACAAGGGTGGAGTCTTGTCCCTGCTGCCTGGCTGCCATGTCCTTGGCTGTGCTCCTCGGTGCTGGCTGTGCTCGGGGGAGACTCTCCTCCGGGGGGGCTGCTGGTGAGGAGGGGACCACGGGGGGAGGTGGGTCTGGGGTGACGGCGTGAGTGCCCACAGAGAGGGCTCTGAGTGTCCCCTCTGGCACTCGTGCCATAGGTTCGCCACTACTGCCATAATGTGTCCACAGTACAGTCATTCAAGGATCATCAAACAATTCAACCCAAAATTGTCATTTAGGCCCTAAATGACAATTTTGGGTTGAATTGTTTGATGATCCATTTGTTCATTTTCTTGGCGGTCCATGTTATTCTCAGAAGTTTTCTCCAATGCCAAAATTCAGTAAAGGTAATCCTTGACTTACTATCACAATTGAGCCTAAAATTTCTGTTGCTAAGTGATAATTCAATTTGATAATTGAATGTTGCCCCATTTTACATCCTTTCTTACCCAGTTGTTAAGCAAATCACTGCAGCTAAGTTAGTAACACAGTTGTTAAGTGAATCTGGCTTCCCCATTGACTTTGGTCACAAAGGGTGATCAGATGACTCCAGGACACAGCAACCAGCAACACAGCAAAAAAAGTAAGGTTCTACATTTAGGCAAGAAAAATGCACAGGTATAGTATAGGTGGTACCTTGCTCAATAGTAGTAACTGTGAGAGGGATCTCGGAGTCCTAGTGGACAATCACTTAAATATGAGCCAGCCGTGTGCTGCAGCTGCCAAAAAAGCCAACACAGTGCTGGGCTGCATTAACAGAGGGATAGAATCAAGAAGCACGTGAAGTATTAATTTACAATGCCTTGGTAAGGCCACACTTAGAATACTGCATCCAGTTTTGGTCACCACAATGTAAAAAAGATGTTGAGACTCTAGAAAGGGTACAGAGAAGAGCAACAAAGATGATTAGGGGACTGGAGGCTAAAACATATAAGGAATGGTTGCTGGAATTGGGGATGTCTAATTCAATGAAGAGAAGGACTAGGGAGGACATGATAGCAGTGTTCCAATATCTCAGGGGCTGCCACAAAGAAGAGGGAGTCAAGCTATTCTCCAAAGCACCTGAAGGCAGGACGAGAAGCAACGGATGGAAACTAATCAAGGAGAGAAGCAACTTAGAACTAAGGAGAAACTTCTTGACAGTGAGAACAATTAACCAATGGAACAACCTGCCTCCAGAAGCGGTGAATGCTCCAACACTGGAAGTTTTTAAGAAGAGACTGGACAGCCATTTATCTGAAATGGTATAGGGTTTCCTGCCTGAGCAGGGGGTTGGACTAGATGACCTCCAAGGTCCCTTCCAACTTTATTATTATTATTATTATTATTATTATTATTATTATTATTATTATTACTACTACTACTACTACTACTACTACTACTACTACTACTACTACTACTACCATCGTAAATTTCACGCGAGATGCCAAGCGCCTGAATTTTGATCACGTGACCATGGGGACGCTACAATGGTTGTAAGTGTAAAAAATGGTCATAGGTTACTTTTTTCAGTGCTGTTGTAACTTTCAATGATCGCTAAATGAATGCTTGAAAGTTAAGGCCTACTTGTACTCTATATCCTGATTTTATTTCCTCCTTCCCAAACAATAATGAATAAAATGTGTTTGTTAGAAGTCAAAAATGACCTGATGGTACATAATCAGATTATCTCAATAAGGTTTACAACCGCCCTATGAAATAGGCCAGTCTTGTAAATTCTGTAATATATCTGAACTGACATTTAAGCCAGACTCATCTCTTGCCGTTCATATTCTTAACCAACTTGGTATACCAGCTTGTTGAATTTTGAGACGATTTTAATCACACGATATATTTTAATCCTGATTAATGTGGTGAGAGCGTATATTTACGTCATCACAGAGACAATTTGTCCAAAACTGTCACTGGAGTGGCGGCTAAATACCAGCTGTCATCACACTGTCCAAGAAAGAGTTGTGATGTGGATAGGATGCAATAAATCATGTTACCACTCCAGGGAGGAGCTGAAGAGGATTCACATTGGAATGAAAATTCTTGTTGAGATAGCAATCTCATCATAAAGACGTGAATGGGGAATCAAAAGGAAATAGGATACTCCCACAACACTCCAGGCTTTCTGGAGATAACAACTTTCGGCACCACACCTCCCAAATTTCTTAGTGAAATACATAGAATGCAGTACTGTCATGAAATGATTGCCTTTCCCTAATTTAACTGGCAATGTAAAAAAATCAGAGATACATAGATACACGCTCTCTGAATTTGTTGTTTGACTGCAGACGCTTCATTACCTGACTAGGTAACATCATCAGTTGGGTAAGGAATGTCTGCAAACAAACAGCCAAGCTCAGAGTGCATCAACGTCTCCCTAAATCAGTGGTTCTCAACCTTTTTAATGCCGCGACCCCCAACCGGTCGTAAGTCGAGGACTAAACCGATCGTAAGTCGAGGACTAAACCGATCGTAAGTTGAGGACTAAACCGGCCGTAAGTCGAGCGCCGTGCATGCGTGGTTCCGCCCCCTGCACCGGCCGAGGCGTAGCTGGCAAGCGGCAGAGATGGAGCAGGCCGACCACCAGCTGGCCCAGCCCAAGGGAGGTAAGGCACCCGCCGGAAAAGGGGGGGAAAATTTATTTATTTATTTATTAAATTTATATACCGCCCTATCTCCCTTGCGGGACTCAGGGCGGTGAACAGGCGATACTAAAAACCACAATAATAAATAAATTGTTTTAAAATCGAATTAAATAACAGGCCTGTTCTAAAAACACACCCGTAAACCCCCCCCCACTGAAACATAATCAAACTACGCCAGGCCGGCCGCACGGAATAGATGGGCCTTCAGGGCTCGGCGAAAAAGGCGGACAGCCTTGCTTGGCGACCCCGTGAAATGGTCAATCGACCCCAAATGGGGTCCCGACCCATAGGTTGAGAACCGCTGCCCTAAATGGACTTTTTGGGGTAGGGGTGGAGATAAAGCTGACCCAATGGTATACCTAAAAATTCTTCAGCTTCGTTTTATTCCAACCTTTGCAGGATGTCCGGATCGCTCACCAGAGAATTCCCAACTATCCTGCTTCAAATGCCTATGACATCCCACCTACTCTGCATTCCAAGAAAGACTTCAGCATGGGGTACTCTAGCATGTTTCATCCGCCGTTTGCCCGGAAGATTCCCAAAAGGGCCACGCCAGCCCCCAACCAATACAATGTAAGAAATGATATAGCCCCAAGGGAAAGGTGGTGGAGAGCAGAAGATCAATCTCGACCTCAAAAGTATCAAGCGCAGGAAATCAGTGGTCCAGGCAGTTCAGATGAATCTGTCTGTCTGTCTGTCTGTCTGTCTGTCTGTCTGTCTGTCTGTCTAGCTCAGTGGTTCTCAACCTTTTTAATGCCGTGACCCCAACCGGTCGTAAGTTGAGGACTAAACCGGTCGTAAGTTGAGGACTAAACTGGTCGTAAGTCGAGGACTAAACCGGTCGTAAGTCGAGGACTACCCAACCGGTCGTAAGTCGAGGACTTTCCCTGCCCGGGAGCACCGCGCATGCGTGGTTCCGCCCCCTGTGCCGGCCGAGGCGTAGCTGGCAAGCGGCAGAGACAGAGCAGGCCGACCACCAGCTGGCCCAGCCCAAGGGAGGTAAAGCACCCACTGGAAAAGGGGAAAAAAATGGCGGACAAAAAAAATGGCGGACAGCCTTGCTTGGCGACCCCCGTGAAATGGTCGATCGACCCCAAATGGGGTCCCGACCCACAGGTTGAGAACCACTGGTCTAGCTATCTAGCTATCTAGGATTACTGTATGCTAAAGCTCTCTATAACAGGGGTGTCAAACTCAATTTCATCGAGGGCCGCATCAGCATTGCGGTTGCCCTCGGGGTGTGTGTGTGTGTGTGGCCAGGGTGGATACGGCCTACTGGGTGGGCGTGGATGGAGTGGGTGTGGTCTACTGGGTGGGCATGGCCAGCTCTACATCATTCGCGTCAAGGGTGCCTGTGGGGGCCTGGGCAGGAGTGGGACAGATCTGAGGGTCTCTGGCAGAAAGGGGTGGGACCAGGGCAGAACCCATCAAGCTGGATATGTGAAGTAGACGAGGGACATTTGCTGGCCACTTCCAGGCGATGGTGCATTTCTTCATTCCTCATAAAGGGTGATACCTCCCCAGCATGCACCCAGGGGGTGGGGCCGTCGCGGCAGGGGCTGGTTCCTCGCTGTTTCCAGATGGCCTTGTGGAGCTAAGACTGAATGCATTTCGGCATAGATGGCCACCACAAAATTGTACATTGCCTCCTGGCCAGCCTGGGCCAGGGCCAAGGCAGCGGGGGCCATTCGCTTACTGTTTCCAGAATGGCTTCGCGGGCCACATGAAACCACTTCGCGGGCCGCATCTAGCCCCCGGGCCTTGTGTTTGACATGTCTGCTCTATAAGAATCTGAGCTATTGATGGTCAAAGGGAGTTGGCCAAAGAATTCCATTGGCCATGAAATTCAAGGTGGGCTGGACTTAGATCTCTTGTGGGTGTGAAGGGACTCAAGACTGATGATGTGTTTGACCCCTCCCTCGGGCTCAGCCTGGACACATCTCCTACATCAAGGATGGAAAGAGGCAAGCTGGGGAAATGATGAAGGAGGAAGGAATTGAATGGAAGCTCACTAAGTGAGCTGCTCACTTCTATCTTATTGAAGGCCTGGTTTCATTAAAGCAGTATTTACTGACCCTCTCGCAGGATTCCCCTGCCCACCACCTTAATGTTTCTAAGGTTGATAAACACTGTGTTGGCGCATTTGCATCAAAACCCATTCATTAATACTGAGGAGAGGTCGAGGCACGCTACATTTTTCTCAAGAAAGATGTGCATGAGCCAATGTTAACTCAAACCAATCCTTCTTAGCTTTCTTGAGGCCAACCAATGTTGGTTAAGTGATGCCACCTACTGTGAGAGATAGGAAATTAATGTACTGAATTATATTTAGAAACAAACTAATAATTAGAAGCAGCATTCTCCTAAACAAAAAAAGCAAAGTAGACCTGCGGGTTTGAAATTGGAATGGATGGCTCTATTTTACTTTTTTTTAATATTGAATACAGTGCAGTGAAGTGCAGAGACAGAGGTGAACTGTAGGAAATAGATATATCAGGCCACGAATGGATCAGTTAAGCCTGATCTCTCCTGGTTTGCAAGGGATCTACAGGGGTAGATGATCTTCTTCTAGATCAGGGGTCTTCAAACTTGGCCCTTTTATGACTTGTGGACTTCAACTCCAGAGAATTCCTCCGCCAGCATGCCTCTTCTAGATGACTCTACATTTTATGTGCCATAAAACTCATGATTTGCTACATTTATATTTCACCTTCTC